GCTGGGATTACAGGCATGCGCCACCACTCCCAGTCTCAGTCGCTGTCTCAATGCGCCCTAAGAATGAGGCCGGCACAGTGCACTGGGGGTCAAACCCGGCCGGCTGTTGCACTCTGCCTAAGCAGACACTTTAGTCCACTGAGGTATCTGGCCAGCCCTTAAATAACGTTACTTTATATGCCACTTTATTTATTTGTTTGTTTGTTTGTTTGTTTATTTTTTTCGGAACCGGGGATTGAACTCAGGCCCTTGCACTTGCCAGGGAAGCACTTATTCCACTGAGCCATCTCCCCGGGCCCCCCACATTATTTGTATGTTTCTCTTTAATTGGTGCTAAATTTATTTAGATAGTAAAATTACACATCATTCTGCATGATTGCTTTTATTAAATCCCAGTTTTTCGTGTGACTTTTCAGAGTAATTTATTGAAGTCTTGTGTACCAAAAATTACGTAGTTTTTTTTTTGCAAATAATAGCAAGTTCAATATTTCATGTTGAGTTAAATCCACCATCTAATAGAATTTTTCTAATTTTTTCTGTAACTTGAAGAAAAAATGAAGAACATTTATAAAAATACAAAGAAGAAAAGAGGAAAGCAAGTTGACTGCAAATTCATTCAAGTTAGGTTAAAGTATCTAGAATGAATTGAATTGTTATTCAGATTATATAGTCAAAAGATTCGTAAAATCTGAATAGTAATGTTTTGTTCAAAATTAGAATGTTCAGATTTTTCAATTTTCCAATTGAACACTTGTTATATTTAATGAGAGCTAGAAGAAAACTTTCCTTATAATTTGAAGATGTAAGCCTGTTCTGGTAGCACGTGTTATAACCACAGCTTTTTGGAGGCTGAAGCAGGAGGATCTCAGTGAGTTGGGTGCCAGCCAGAATGGTGAGTTCCAGGTTAGCCCAAGCTTATGACAAGATCTTGTCTCAAAAGAACAAAATCACTGAAGGTATATGATGGCTATAAGTGAAACTTGTAGAAACAATTTTACAGTACTTTTGATTAGTATCATTTCTCTTAAATTATAATTTAGAGGGTTTTCTCTATACAGTATTATCTATTAGTCTTTCAGTTTGTTCATCTTGTAAATAACAGTATATAGTATGTGTAGGTTGTTGCTGTTTTTCATCATGGTGATTGGTACGATATTTTATATGTATTTATAATTAATACTTGGACTATTTAGAGTTTTAGTTTAGCTTCTTATATCTTAAGTTTCAAATTAGAAAACTGCACTTATTTTGCTTTCCTTAGAGACATGATATAATAATACTTCGCACGTTGTTCGCTCCTGGTTATTTTCCCATAATTCATAGAAATTGGGGAGCTTAAACTGAGGTGTGTCTTCTTGGCTACCATCCGGGTGAAAGTGGAAGTGTACAGAGGGGTTTCTGTCCTGTGCAGTGTTATGTGCTCAGTAAGGCTTTAGTGACTGGTGTTTTTCTTACGTGTCCTAAATATGTGACCTCCAGAGAATTAATTGGTTTAACACATTTTTCACCTTACCAACATTGGCCAAAGTAGCTAAACGTGAAAATAAAGTTCTTACCATTAATAATATTTCTCCAGCCTAATGATGACCTATGAGTGATGGGCAGTTGTAATATAGGATACATTATCAGAATGAGGTGATTGCAGAGTACTCTGGAAATACAGCGGACAAGTTAATGGAGCTTTCATTCAGTTGAGAGAAATCAGCACGAAGCTTGCAGGCTAAGTAGGTTAAAGAAGGAAATCAAAGAGGATAGTGAGTTTGTTAAGTAAAGGAAATTTTTCAAGTAGAATAAGCATTAATGAAAGTTAAGAGCAAAAAAATTGAGAAGCAGTAAGTGGTCTAATAAACCCAGAATATGATTCAGATTTGAGGACAAGGATAGACTGAAAACCAGATGGAAGAGCTTATGTATGTTACGGAGACTGCGAGAGGTCATTAACGGGTTTGCGTAAGTAGCTGTGTGTTTACAATTGAAGGGGTGGTCCCAGAAAGAATGGCTATCATAAAGAAATCACCCAACAACAAATGTTGGAGAGGCTGTGGGGAAAAAGGAACCCTTCTCCACTGCTGGTGG